AATATTTTCTCAAGAACTATCAATAAACGTTGATTTTTTAAAAATATTTTCTCAAGGACTACGATCAAACGTGGATTTTTTAAAAAATATTTTCTCAAGGACTATTAACAAACGTGGATTTTTTTAAAAATATTCTCTCATAGACTATCAATGAATGTGGATTTTTTAAAAATATTTACTCAAGGACTATCAAAAAACGTGGATTTTTTAAAAATATTTTCTCAAGGCCTAACAAAAAACGTGAATTTTTTAAAAATATTTGCTCAAGGTCTATCAATAAACGTGGATTTTTTAAAATATTTTCTCAAGGACTATCAATAAACGTGGATTTTTTAAAATATTTTCTCAAGGACTATCAAAAAACGTGGATTTTTTAAAAATATTTCCTCAAGGCTTAGCAATAAACGTGGATTTTTAAAAAATATTTTTTCAAGGACTATCAATAAACGTAGATTTTTTTAAAATATTTCCTCAAGGCTTAACAATAAACGTGGATTTTTAAAAAAATATTTGCTCAAGGACTATCAATAAACGTGGATTTTTTAAAATATTTTCTCAAGGACTATCAATAAACGTGGATTTTTTAAAATATTTTCTCAAGGACTACCATCAAACGTGGATTTTTTAAAAACATTTTTTGCAAGGGCTATTGATAAACGCGGTTTTTAAAAGTATTTTTTCAAGGGCTACTGATAAACGTGGTGTTTTAAAAGATTTTTTTTTAAGGGCTACTAATGAACGTGGAATTTTTAAAGATATTTCATCAGGGTCTATTGATAAACGTGGATTTTTTTTAAAGATTTTTTTAAGGACTACCATCAAACGAGGATTTTTTAAAAATATTTTCTCAAGGCTTAACAAAAAATGTGGATGTTTTAAAAATATTTTCTCAAGGCTTAACAAAAAATGTGGATGTTTTAAAAATATTTTCTCAAGGACTACCATCAAACGTGGATTTTTTTTAAATATTTTTTCAAGGTCCATTGATAAACGTGGATTTTTTTAAAATATTTCTTCAAGGTCTATTGATAAACGTGGATTTTTTTAAAATATTTTTTAAGGACTACCATCAAACGTGGATTTTTTTAAAATATTTTTTAAGGACTACCATCAAACGAGGATTTTTTAAAAATATTTTTTCAAGGACTATCAATAAACGTAGATTTTTTTAAAATATTTTTTCAAGGGCAATCAATAAATGTGGATTTTTTAAAAATATTTTTTCAAGGGCAATCAATAAACGTGGATTTTTTAAAAATATTTTTTCAAGGGCAATCAATAAACGTGGATTTTTTAAAAATATTTTTTCAAGGGCAATCAATAAACGTGGATTTTTTAAAAATATTTTTTCAAGGGCAATCAATAAACGTGGATTTTTTAAAAATATTTTTTCAAAGGCAATCAATAAACGTGGATTTTTTAAAAATATTTTTTCAAGGAGCCAATATAAACGTGGATATTTTAAAATTTTTTTCTCAAGGACTGTCAATAAAAGTGGATTTTTTAAAAATATTTTCTCAAAGACCATTAGTAAGCGTGGGTTTTTATAAATATTTTCTCAAAGACCATTAATAAACGTGATTTTTATAAATATTTTCTCAAGGACTTTCAAAAAACGTGATTTTTTTTAATATTTTCTTTCAAAAAACTTGATTTTTTTAAAAAAATATTTTATCAAGGGCCCTATCTAAACATTTTTTATTTAATTTTTCAAGATCCATTACATCTTCCTCTTTTCCTTGCACTCTCTATCTTAAGGACTAACTTATTCTCGCTAATATTAATGTCTCATCATTAACCTAATCAGTGTTACGCTCATAATAATCACTGCCTTGACTTTCTAATGACAAGGATGCTCTTCTTATCCCTGCCATGCCGTGGCGAGCTTTATCAAATATTACAAAGTGCCGAACGTCTTCTTTGGCCTTTGCCATTCTCTACCACCTCCCACCCCAAACACTACCCGACATCTGTTTTTCATCCTGGCTCACATTAAGGTTCCCCGTAATGGGGACGAAACTGTTCATTAATTAACTTCTCGTTCAACTTCATTAATCTTAAATTATCAATAAAATATCGTTTACCTATTTACCTAGTCAGTCATTTGCTTCCACCTTTTCCCCCCACCACCTCCTCTACCATGCTGCAGGGCAATTAACTTCATTGTTCAGTCTTTGAAATTTTTATTAAGATTCTGCATTTTATTTTTGTGCTTTTTAATTTGTCGCCTGAAAGCATTGGCTATTTGATGGTGTGACTTTCTCTTGGAAATGGCAGGAAAAGATATTTGAAAGTGTCCTTATCTCTCCAGCTTCCCCTTTCACACAGACAATGGTGGCCAATAACCATCTTTTTTTTGTGTAGTTCAAAATATTTTCATTAACTCTTCAATGAAAACAAGAGTCAAATTGCCTTGTTACAGTTCAATGGCGATTTTTGGAAAGGGAGATATTGGTAGAAGTGATTTGGAGGAGTTATTAGTTAACTATGCCAAATATTAAATTAATCAAAAATATTTCTGAGGTCTATAATAAATTTGGATTAATAGTCTTTTAGATATATTTTTAAAAAATCCAAGTTCATAAATAGTCCTTGAGAAAATATTTTTAAAAAATCCAAGTTTATTGTTAAGCCTTGAGAAAATATTTTTAAAAAATCCAAGTTTTTCTGTTAAGCCTTGAGAAAATATTTTTAAAAAATCCACATTCCTTGAGAAAATATTTTTAAAAAATCCACGATTTTCTGTTAAGCCTTGAGAAAATATTTTTAAAAAATCCACGTTTATTGTTAAGCCTTGAGAAAATATTTTTAAAAAATCCACGTTTATTGTTAGGCCTTGAGAAAATATTTTTAAAAAATCCACGTTTATTGTTAGGCCTTGAGAAAATATTTTTAAAAAATCCACGTTTATTGTTAGGCCTTGTGAAAATATTTTTAAAAAATCCACGTTCATAGATAGTCCTTGAGAAAATATTTTTAAAAAATCCACGTTTATTGTTAAGCCTTGTGAAAATATTTTTAAAAAATCCACGTTTATTGTTAAGTCTTGAGAAAATATTTTTAAAAAATCCACGTTTATTGTTAAGTCTTGAGAAAATATTTTTAAAAAATCCACGTTTATTGTTAAGTCTTGAGAAAATATTTTTAAAAAATCCACGTTTATTGTTAAGCCTTGAGAAAATATTTTTAAAAAATCCCCGTTTATTGTTAAGCCTTGAAAAAATATTTTTAAAAAATCCACGATTATTGTTCAGAATTGAGAAAATATTTTTAAAAAATCCACGTTTATTGTTAAGCATTGAGAAAATATTTTTTTAAAAATCCACGTTTATTTATAGTCCTTGAGAAAATATTTTTAAAAAATCCACGTTTATTGTTAAGCCTTGAGAAAATATTTTTAAAAAAATCCACGTTTATTGTTAAATCTTGAAAAAATATTTTTAAAAAATCCACGTTTATTGTTAAGCCTTGAGAAAATATTTGTAAAAAATCCACGTTTATTGTTAAGCCTTGAGAAAATATTTTTAAAAAATCCACGTTTTTTGTTAAGCCTTGAAAAAATATTTTTAAAAAATCCACGTTTAATGTTAAGCCTTGAGATAATATTTTTAAAAAATCCACATTTAATGTTAAGCCTTGAAAAAATATTTTTAAAAAATCCACGTTTATTGTTAAGCCTTGAGAAAATATATTCGAAAAATTCAAATTTATTGTTAAGCCTTGAGAAAATATTTTTAAAAAAATCCACGTTTATTGTTAAGCCTTGAGAAAATATTTTTAAAAAAATCCACGTTTATTGTTAAGCCTTGAGAAAATATTTTTAAAAAAATCCACGTTTATTGTTAAGCCTTGAGAAAATATTTTTAATAAATCCACGTTTATTGTTAAGCCTTGAGAAAATATTTTTAAAAAAATCCACGTTTATTGTTAAGCCTTGAGAAAATATTTTTAAAAAAATCCACGTTTATTGTTAAGCCTTGAGAAAATATTTTTAATAAATCCACGTTTATTGTTAAGCCTTGAGAAAATATTTTTAAAAAATCCACGTTTATTGTTAAATCTTGAGAAAATATTTTTAAAACATCCACGTTTATTGTTAAGCCTTGAGAAAATATTTGTAAAAAATCCACGTTTATTGTTAAGCCTTGAGAAAATATTTTTAAAAAATCCGCGTTTATTGTTAAGCCTTGAGAAAATATTTGTAAAAAATCCACGTTTATTGTTAAGCCTTGAGAAAATATTTTTAAAAAGTCCACGTTTATTGTTAAGCCTTGAGAAAATATTTTTAAAAAATCCACGTTTATTAATGCCTCTTAGAAAAATATTTTTCAAAATGGACCTTGAAAATGTATGCTTTAAAAATTATTTTCCACTTACATCTTTTCAATCTTCAATAACATCCTCCCTTCCCTCGACAACAACATTGAATCCTAATTTCCAATTCAATTGAACACAACAACTCAATCTCCATAATTACGTTAAGCCCCATGTCCATCCAGGCGGCCATCAAAGCATATTTACGACTAAAGTGCGTCTGAATATTAGATTCGCCATTCGTTGTGTTCGAATGTGTGGGTGTTAATGTAGCGTTTGTGTGTGTTCGTGTGTGGAGCGATTTTTCGGTTTTGTATTAAACTGTTTATCCGGCAGACAATCATCATATTTGTGGGTCATTTAATATTGACTTATGTTACTGTGTCCATTCGCATTCACATTGGCCCCATGTAGAGGGGCACTGCAGTGCGTTCGCGATCTCCTGCATCCCTCCACGAATGATGCAAAAAGAATTCCAATTGTCAAAGGTCAATTGCAGTGAAGCACCTCCAGCCAGCTAGTCAGCCGACCCGCCAACTGGCCATAATAAAATCTAGTGAGCACTCGTTGTGTGAACTCCAATCGTGACTGGATGATAGTCAGTCGTCATCGTTGACCAGCCAGAGCCAGATCGCCGCATTCCCTGGTCCTCTGATTGGATAATGTTTATTTTCCCAAATGCTTAGAAATAGAAATTTCCACGGTGTTTATGATGGGAATGGTAATTGTGGTAGTGGCCGTAGTGGTGGTGGTGGTGGTGGCTATGCTGGCGCTAACACCAGCGATAAAAATAAATAAAGTGGACTTAATGGCAATAGTGCTGATTGGATTTTTGGATTTCTGTTTTCGGAACAGTGTGGGGGGGTGGAGGTTGATGTCCTTCTTAACATCATTAATGCTGCACGACAGAGGTATAAACATCAAACAGGCGTAATATTGATTATAGGTTCAATGGCCCATAAAGTTGAGGAGTCCAAGTTAAAACATAAAAAAATAAAAAAGGACATCACGGGGCTTCGAGTATTTTATTAAAATCTTTTCCAAGTACTATTAATAAACGAGGATTTTTTACAAATATTTTTTAGGGCTTAAATATAATCGTGGATTTTTTAAAAATATTTTTTCAAGGATAAAATATATACGTGGATTTTTTGAAAATATTTTTTCAATGAGCCAATATAAACGTGGATTTTTTAAAAATATTTATTTCACGGCTATCAATAATCGTGGATTTTTTAAAAATATTTTTTCAAGGAGCCAATATAAACGTGGATTTTTTAAAAATATTTTTTCAAGGAGCCAATATAAACGTGGATTTTTTAAAAATATTTTTTCAAGGCGCCAATATAAACGTGGATTTTTTAAAAATATTTTTTCAAGGAGCCAATATAAACGTGGATTTTTTAAAAATATTTTTTCAAGGAGCCAATATAAACGTGGATTTTTTAAAAATATTTTTTCAAGGAGCCAATATAAACGTGGATTTTTTAAAAATATTTTTTCAAGGAGCCAATATAAACGTGGATTTTTTAAAAATATTTTTTCAAGGAGCCAATATAAACGTGGATTTTTTAAAAATATTTTTTCAAGGAGCCAATATAAACGTGGATTTTTTAAAAATATTTTTTCAATTTCCAAATATAAATGTGGATTCTTTAAAAATATTTTTTCAAGGAGCCATTATAAACGTGGATTTTTTAAAAATATTTTTTCAAGGAGCAATTATAAACGTGGATTTTTTAAAAATATTTTTTTAAAGAGCCAATATAAACGTGGATTTTTTAAAAATTGTTTTTCAATGAGCCAATATAAACGTGGATTTTTTAAAAATATTTTTTCAAGGAGCCAATATAAACGTGGATTTTTTAAAAATATTTTTTCAAGGAGCCAATATAAACGTGTATTTTTTAAAAAAATATTTTTTCAAGGAGCCAATATAAACGTGGATTTTTTAAAAATATTTTTTCAAGGAGCCAATATAAACGTGGATTTTTTAAAAATTGTTTTTCAATGAGCCAATATAAACGTGGATTTTTTAAAAAAATATTTTTTCAAGGAGCCAATATAAACGTGGATTTTTTAAAAATATTTTTTAAAGGAGCCAATATAAACGTGGATTTTTTAAAAATTGTTTTTCAATGAGCCAATATAAACGTGGATTTTTGAAAAATATTTTTTCAAGGCGCCAATATAAACGTGGATTTTTAAAAATTGTTTTTCAAGGAGCCAATATAAACATGGATTTTTTAAAAATATTTTTTCAAGGAGCCAATATAAACGTGGATTTTTTAAAAATATTTTTTCAAGGAGCCAATATGAACGTGGATTTTTTAAAAATTGTTTTTCAAAGAGCCAATATAAACGTGGATTTTTTAAAAATATTTTTTCAAGGAGACAAAATAAACGTGGATTTTTTAAAAATATTTTTTCCGAGGCTATAATAATCGTGGATTTTTTTAAAAATATTTTTTCAAGGAGACAAAATAAACGTGGATTTTTTAAAAATATTTTTTCCGAGGCTATAATAATCGTGGATTTTTTAAAAATATCTTTTCAAGTCCCAAATATAAATGTGGATTTTTTAAAAATATTTTTTCGAGGAGCCAATATAAACGTGGATTTTTTAAAAATATTGTTTCAGGGAGCCAATATAAACGTGGATTTTTTAAAAATATTTTTCAAGGAGCCAATATAAACGTGGATTTTTTAAAAATATTTTTCAAGGAGCCAATATAAACGTGGATTTTTTAAAAATATTTTTTCGAGGAGCCAATATAAACGTGGATTTTTTAAAAATATTGTTTCAGGGAGCCAATATAAACGTGGATTTTTTAAAAATATTTTTCAAGGAGCCAATATAAACGTGAATTTTTTAAAAATATTTCTTCATGGAGCAAATATAAACGTGGATTTTTTTAAAATATTTTTCAAGGAGCCAATATAAACGTGAATTTTTTAAAAATATTTCTTCATGGAGCAAATATAAACGTGGATTTTTTTAAAATATTTTTCTAGGACTATCAAAAAACGTGGATTTTTTAAAAAATATTTTCTCTAGGACTATCAAAAAACGTGGATTTTTTAAAAATATGTTTTCAAGAAGCCAATATAAACGTGGATTTTTTAAAAATATTTTTTTAAAGAGCCAATATAAACGTGGATTTTTTAAAAATATTTTTTCAAGGAGCCAATATAAACGTGGATTTTTTAAAAATATTTTCTCAAGGAGCCAATATAAACGTGGATTTTTTAAAAATATTTTTTTAAAGAGCCAATATAAACGTGGATTTTTTAAAAATTGTTTCTCAAGGAGCCAATATAAACGTGGATTTTTTAAAAATATTTTTTCAAGGAGCCAATATAAACGTGGATTTTTTAAAAATTGTTTCTCAAGGAGCCAATATAAACGTGGATTTTTTAAAAATATTTTTTCAAGGAGCCAATATAAACGTGGATTTTTTAAAAATTGTTTCTCAAGGAGCCAATATAAACGTGGATTTTTTAAAAATATTTTTTTAAAGAGCCAATATAAACGTGGATTTTTTAAAAATATTTTTTCAAGGAGCCAATATAAACGTGGATTTTTTAAAAATATTTTCTCAAGGAGCCAATATAAACGTGGATTTTTTAAAAATATTTTTTTAAAGAGCCAATATAAACGTGGATTTTTTAAAAATATTTTTTTAAAGTGCCAATATAAACGTGGATTTTTTAAAAATATTTTTTCAAGGAGCCAATATAATCGTGGATTTTTTAAAAATATTTTTTCAAGGAGCCAATATAAACGTGGATTTTTTAAAAATATTTTTTCAAGGAGCCAATATAAACGTGGATTTTTTAAAAATATTTTTTCAAGGAGCCAATATAAACGTGGATTTTTAAAAATTGTTTTTCAAGGAGCCAATATAAACGTGGATTTTTTAAAAAGTGTTTTTCAAGGAGCCAAAATAAACGTGGATTTTTTAAAAATATTTTTTCCGAGGCTATAATAATCGTGGATTTTTTAAAAATATCTTTTCAAGTCCCAAATATAAACGTGGATTTTTTAAAAATATTTTTTCGATGAGCCAATATAAACGTGGATTTTTTAAAAATGTTGTTTCAGGGAGCCAATATAAACGTGGATTTTTTAAAAATATTTTTCAAGGAGCCAATATAAACGTGGATTTTTTAAAAATATTTTTTCGAGGAGCCAATATAAACGTGAATTTTTTAAAAATATTTCTTCATGGAGCAAATATAAACGTGGATTTTTTAAAAATATTTTTCTAGGACTATCAAAAAACGTGGATTTTTTAAAAAATATTTTCTCTAGGACTATCAAAAAAACGTGGATTTTTTAAAAATATGTTTTCAAGAAGCCAATATAAACATGGATTTTTTAAAAATATGTTTTCAATGAGGCAATATAAACGTTGATTTTTAAAAATATTTTTTCTAGAATTATCAATAAACGTGGATTTTTTAAAAATATTTTTTCTAGGATTATCAATAATCGTGGATTTTTTAAAAATATTTTATCAAGACTTTTTTTTCTTACATTTTTAAAGATCCAATAATTCAAATCATAATTTCCAAAATTTAAAAACATCACTTAAATCGCCTACAACAACCTTCACGTGTGAACTGCACCTAATTTAATTAAGCCAAGCATTGTTCACGCCGTCACTGTTGCCCGTCATAATCGAATTTGCATAATTAATTTAATTTGACGCTATCCTGCAAAAAGGATGTAAAATTAAATGAACAAAGGACCAACTCTCGAAGCCCCCATTCATGGGCGTGCAAGAAAAGAATCATCTCTAATGAGCGTTTATTTAAATCTCGAGAGTGTTAGCAAAAGATTTGCATTAATTCATGGCAACATTTATGAGGCGCTCGCCCTGCCCACACTCCTTCACACCCGCACACAGATAGACAAACACACACATATGCAGTGAGTGAGAAATGTATATCTCGGCCACATATTTTAATGCAACCCAGCCAAAACATCGCTGGGGGAATAGGCGCTGGCGCCAAGGATATTGGCGGAGTGGCTGGAGGGGCCATGTGAGCAACAGTGAAAGTTGAACCCTTGATTCTTTCCGCTTCATCATCATCATCGTCTCCACTTGAGTTGAACAACGATAAACAAGAATCCCTCCTCCACTTAAGGATGAACTTGGTGTGTGTGTGTGTCTGTATGGGTGTTTGCATGTTTATTATGCTTGCATGTGTGAAGGCGGGTGTTAGGAGGGGGCAGACATGTGTGTGGCTGTCTGTTTATAAGTTTGTATAACTTTTACTAAATGTTGTGAATTTTTAGAGGTTTGGGTAATGTTGTGCGTATGTGAGTGTGTGTTGTGTTGTTAACATGTCTGTTTATTGTGAATATACAATGGCAGTTACTTATACATATAAAGAGAATTCATTACTCATGGATACACCAATACAATTGGGTTTTCTGGGGAATGGAAATGAGTGTGGTGTAATGAGGAGGGTGGATTTTTTAAAAATATATATTTTGTGGATTATCAATAAACGTGGATTTTTCAAAAATATTGTTTCAAGGAGCCAATACAAACGGGGATTTTTTAAAAATATTTTTTCAAGGAGCCAATATAAATTAAAAAATATTTTTTCAAGGAGCCAATATAAACGTGGATTTTTCAAAAATATTGTTTCAAGGAGCCAATACAAACGGGGATTTTTTAAAAATATTTTTTCAGAAGCCAATATAAACGTGCATTTTTAAAAATATTTTTTCAAGGAGCCAATATAAAAGTGGATTTTTAAAAATATTTTTTCAAGGAGCCAAT